TAGATTGGGTAGTAGGGAGGGCGGAGGGGTGATGAGGCAGGTCAGGGAGTGGGGAGGAGGAGGGGAAAAGTAGGAAGGATGGAGAAGGTGAGGGAGGAGTGGGAATGGGGAGGGTGGGGACATGTGGAGGTAGGAGGTGGGGGTTCAGAAGACAGGATGTGATTGACTTTGAGGGGGGTGCTATAAAGAACACATCAAGCACACACGCACTGTCAGTTATATACCCAGAGTACTCCAGGAGATCAATTTTTTGAAAACTTTAGCATATAAAATATTCTAATACATACAATTAATAGCAATTCTAGTGACATAATATAACCAATTTTATTTTTTATATCAATTTTACTTGGAACACTTGAGATTTATTAATAGAAAATCATAACATATTAGAACATAGAGGAAGACATACTAAACGCAGTAGAGATGTGTGGGAAATTAACATGCAGATTTATTTTTATACCAATTAACACAAACAATATTATCAGGGTGATAATGAAATTCATTCAAGGAAAAATAGCAAATGAGGTTCATGGGGCACTCACCCTACCAGATTTCAAAACACGGTGATGATGATCAGAACTGTAGAATAATAGGCTGACAGAAACCCTGAAAAGGGGACTCGTGCCATTTTCAAAGGGTGGCTGGGTTCATATGACATGGTAGTCACAGAAACATGGTGATTGTTGGGGAAAATGAGGACTAAAAGGAAAGTACTAGGGCTAATACTGGAAACACACAACTAAAAACAGCACCGCTCAAAGCCTGAGCAGATGTCCATCTGGCAGAATTCACGATGACAGCAGTGAGCGGGGGGTGGGGGGTTGGAGTTGAAATTGATCATGGGGTGCTTGGCTGAGAACCACTCAGCCACCAAATGCCCCCAGGGGGTTACTTATAATTTAAACAGCAGGGTATAAAAATGGTTACCCAAAGCACTTTGAAAGAAAATGGAAGTATCCTATCCATCCCTATTACACCTACACTCCTCTCCATCTGAACCCCCCACCCTTCTCCATAATTCACTTGATTAAACAAAACCCAGAAAATGTGCCCACCCTCAAGTTTCTGTAAAATTAAGTTACACAGCTGGATCACAAGACTAGTCCACAACATTGAATGTATTTCATAGAGAATTGGCAATATTTTTTGAAACCCTTTATGAAAAAGTGATTTAAAGAAACACTGTTCTCCAGTATAGTGGGCACTAGTAATTAATTAAAACAATTGTTTAAGATGCTGACCACACTATGTTAATTTAAAACGCATAAATGTATCTTCATTGGTCAGTCTTGATAGAAGCTCATGTTTCACTGATTGGAGCTCTGAGCTGCCTTTTTAGATAATCAGTAGCACAAAATAAGTTACACAGCAGTGGGAAAATAACTTTTAAAAACATATAAACAATTAAATATCAATGTGGAGAATTACTTTTGAGCTATACCTCAAAACACTATGAATTTCAGATAAATCAAGGACTATGAGAAGGAAGAACTTATTGGTATGGGGAGGGCAAACAAAATAATTATGAAATCAAAACTAATGAATGCAATTCATAAAGGTAACATACAAAGCAGAATGGGAAAATGTTTTACACATCTGTATTGAATATTTCATAACTAATTTATTACAAAGCACTAAGTATTTTCCCAGAGAAATTAAGTAAATACCCAACCCTACCCTTTACTCCTCTGTGGGTTCCACATCTTCAGATTCAACCAACCTTGGATTGAAAAATTGTTTTTAAAAGGGTAAAAATAACAATATAACAATTTAAAATACAATATAACAATTTAAAAACAATTTAAAATATTTATAAATAAATAATACAGTACAACAACTATTTACATAGCATTTACATTGTGCTGGGTGTTATGTCATCTAGAGATACACAGGTACACAGGAGAGTACATAGGTGACATGCTAACACTACACCATTTTAGATAAGAGACTCGAGCATCCTCAGACTTTTATATGAGGGAGAGATCCTGGAACACACCCCCTTCAGATGTATTCAGAGAAGAATCTGGATGGATAAAAAATGTGTATGTTCGCTCATAATTGATTGATTTTTTTAGATACTCAACACAGTAGGTGCTCTCTTCAACAGTATATGCAAAGGGGTACCTCAAAAACTGGAATTTATCTATAAAAATTGTGTATTTATTCTTATGCATTTAAACTTCAGTTACCTTCAAAGCACTCTCCGTTTGATGCAAGACACCTATTGAGACACTTTTTCCACTGCTCAAAACAGTTATTGAACTTGTCCATTTTGATGCCCTTTAGTGCTTCTGCCACTGTTTGTTTCACCTCTTTCACATCAGCAAAAGGTTTCCTTCTTAATCCTTTTTTTTCATGTGGGGAAACAAAAAAGTCGCTCAGGGTGAGATCAGGTGAATAGGGAGGGTGGGGCACCAGGGCCACCCCAGTTTTGGTCAAAAACTGCTGAACATTCATGCAGTGTGGGCAGGTTGCTCTTGTAAATCACCCATCATGAAATGGACAAAATGTCTTGAAAGAATCTCCAAAAAAGATTCACTGAAGCTGAAGGCAGCTTCTCACAGCAACCCTAGTTGGTACACTGATGTTAATGGGTGCCTAAAACACTTATCTAGCAGGGGAAGCCTGGACTACAAGGGACCTGCCCTCCAAAAGATAATTCTGGTTTTTTGGGTCCCCTCCTATACTAAAATTAGAACAATACAAAGAAGATCAGCATGGCCTCTGTACAAGGATGACATGTTCATGAAGCATTGCATATTAAAATATATATATATATATTTGTGTGTATATATATATATATACACCTAATCCTGAATTGTACCCCACATCTTTAAAAAAAAAAAAAAAGAAGAAGAAGACAGTAAGGTAGGTCTGGGGAGACACAATGTGGGGCAAAGACTTTGGACTAAGACACCAACTGCAGTTGAAGATAGCACCTAAGGATTCTCTAGCCAGGTGTTAGTCCCTTTGTGTTGCGATAAGAGAATACCTGAAACTGGGTAATTTATATGGAAAAGTTTCACAAGCTAAGAAGTTCAAGGCCATGGCCTTGGATTCTGGCAAAGACTTTCTTGCTGCCACAACATGGCGGATTAGATCAAAAGGGACGCAGACACATGCTAACGTGAGAACCTGAGGGCCATCCTGGCTATATAGCGGCCCATTATCACAGGAACTAGTCCATTCCCACAAGAACAGCATTCACAGGAATCCACCCCCATGACTCAGACAGCTCACTCTAGATACCATCACCAAATGCCACCACACTGGGGATATAATTTCAGCACGAATTTCGGTGGGAACAAACCAACCACATCTAAATCATAGCATCAGGTTCTCCAACTTTGTGTAGACACCAGAGTTACTCATGCCATTTGTGAGTATCTTTTAATTAATATTTAGTGCAAACAGAAGATACTGCAGCATGTTTGACATTTGAGTTTTTTCCTAGAGTACACTAAATATTCTCTTTTTTTTTTAATTGGAGTCTCACTCTGTCTCCCAGGCTGGAGTGCAGTGGCCGCTCCCGGCCACCACAGCCTCGACCTGGTGGGCTCCAGCGATCCTTCTGCCTCAGCCTTCCAAGTAGCTGGAACTACAGGTGCACTACCACGCCTGGCTAATTTTTGATTTATTGTAGAGATGAGGTCTCGCCAAGTTGCCCAGGCGGGTCTCGAACCCATGGGCTTAGGCAGTCCACTCACCTCAGCCTCCCAAGGCGCAGGATTACAGGCTGAGCCACCGAGTCGGCTAAATATTCTTGTGTTTATTTTTACTGGTGCTTTTCAATTGAGGGTTAGAAAGGATGGATAAGAGAAAGAGAGACTAAATGGTTCTTTCCTACCAAATAAACTTCTCAAGCAACACTTTTAGTGTACAATAAATTCTGTAATTCTATTCCCAGATAATCCCTAGAGTTGGTTGACACCTATACATCTAGAATTCCTGTTTCTGATAACTCAGGATAATTTACACGCTAACACTGTGACCTAAGACAATAATTCTAAAAAGAGAGCAAGAGAACCTTTGGAAAATCATTAATTTCTTCTTTATATCTAGCCTTATAATTTCTATATAAGAATATCTGTGAATTAAAATTAGTTATAACTTACATAACTTTGTATCATTGGCTAGTTCTTTTCAAGCAGTCCATGTCAAAAGCTAAGAAAGAAATTGATGGAAGTTATACTCAGAGACAGCCCCTTATGAAAATTTATTACAGATAAAATCCTTAAAAAATAAACAAAATCACATTTTAATTGCATTTCCAGGGGGCTTCACCATTATTGAAATCTCATTTACATCAACCTGATGTTAGTAGATGTCTAATAAAATAGTACAACATCCTACCTTCTAGGCCTAAGTTGACATTGAGACTAAGCACTGCTCATTTCCATAACTTCGAGTTCCTTGATTACCACCCCAAGTTCCATCACTGCCTACAGTTCTTAAGATTAAAATAAGTAGAATGAATGGTATTTTACTAGCTTTAGGGCCACAAAATTGGCACATCAAATTACCCTGTCAGTCTAACTCTGAAACT